ACCCGTTGTGCTATACCCGTGGCGCTATGCTGGTGGTGCTATACCCGTTGTGCTATACCCGTGGCGCTATGCTGGTGGTGCTATACCCGTTGTGCTATACCCGTGGCGCTATGCTGGTGGTGCTATACCCGTTGTGCTATGCCCGTGGCTTGATAATCAAGGCCTAAGCTTATGAGTGATCCGAAATAAAATTATACAAACCGACCCGCGGCGTAGCGAATACATATTATTTAGTTACAGATGAAGACTTCCTGAAAGACACAGTTGTTTAATTGGGGTGAATGGGTACACACTGTTGCGCATGCCTGGAGAGCAAGGGAGAGGGCGGGAGGAGGGTTAGAGAGCCGGTTTGTGAGAGTGGTGTCCCGCAAGGTTGGACGACGTAGAGAATTATCAGAATATACATTTAGAAAATCATCGCTTTACCATAATTAAAATAATATTAATTTAAATTTGTTGACGTGCGTTAGAAATTTTAACATAAAATAAGTCGCATTATTATTTGTAATACTTAAATATTAAATATCATGATTGTTATCAACAATGTTACAACATAAACGCAGCAAATTAGAGGCTTACAATTCTAGCTTATTTTAAAAGTACATTACACGAATAATTATTAAACACATTATAATTTGCTTGATATTAAATGCTTAAGATTTAGCGCACAGATATATTAACATTATTTAAAGACATCTGTTTGTTCTTAATAAAATTAAAATATTCAAATGTAAGTTTTATTTACATATTGAACTGAAAATTATTTACTGTTGATAAACTCAAACCAAGCCCTGTTAATTAAAAGTGCTTAGTATCTGTGTCATGACTTACTTTCACACTTGTTGGAGTGTGTGCTATTTATGAAGAACCTAGGATAGCACGAACATGAGAAACTTCCCTCAGTGTTGGTACATATTTGCTCGCATGGATTCCCAGAAGTGCATTCATCGATATCTGAAAATATATTCACTCGCTTCTTACATAGTTCTTGTTTGAGCGAAATAATCTGATTAAAAAGTGTGTAATACCACACTCAGAACACGTAGTCTAATTGAATATAAAACCATACTTAAAAATGAATTTATACCATCTCAAAAATGTAATCCTAAAAAATTCATAAAAAGCGATTTGAAAACAAGCATTTATGTAATAATGCAGTAAAAAATATGTTTTTTCTTTAAATATATATATTAATGCTCTACTATCTTAAAAATATAACAAAAGTGTGTGTTCTATCTATTGGAAACCTTAACTAATATTTTAAAAAAGTTTTTAATGAATTTTTTTCATTACTTTATAATTTTTAATACAATAGAGTTTCTTGACTAAAGATGATTAAGCATCAAATTAACATGATGATGTGCGTATAATAGTGCAGAAAGATTGGTACAATCTTGCCTACTAATTTTGAAACTATTTCATTAAAAATTAAATGGACATCCAAAAAAGTCAAATTTAATGACATTATTGCATTGACATCCGGTCTTCACAGACACATAGACAATATTAAGACACATGAAGCTGGTTAAATAAAAGCTTGTAAACATGTAATCGCTTGAATTAAAAACCGTGAAAATTTAATAAATCTTATAAACTGCTGTAATGAACCGCTTTTACAAACCGACACATCGTGTAGTATCTGTGTTGTTAATTTCGTAACCGGAATTGCATGAACATAAGAAGCTTCCATTTGTGTTGTTACAAATGTGTTCACAGGGGCTTGCAGTTTGGATGTTGCATTCATCTATATCTGAAATATATATATATATATATATATATATATATATATATATATATATATATATATATATATATATATATATATATATATATATATATATACCGAAACACCACCGAAATTAATATTAAGATTTAATTTTTAAATACTGGCTATTTAACTCCCCGATATATTCTTTACATATGCCAGCCTGTTACAAAATCATTTGAACATAGCTACATCTTTTTCACCTAACGCCCTCCACAGTAGCGTAAGCAGGGGGGGGGGGAGCAGGGAGAGCAATCGCTCCCCCTCTGGCCATTTTCAGCAAAGTGGCGCCTTTTTAGAAACTTTTTAAACTCGAGGTTTTAAACAATGCTATTTGTTAAAAAAAATGTGTGTAAATCACAAGATTTCTTTTCATGCAGCAATTAAGCATAATAGTACTAGTCTAGTACCTCTAGTAGCGTCTACGTTTATTCGTTTACAACACGTATTAACAGCTGTAACAGTTTGTCATTCTAAAAATAACCATTACGAGGCATTGCAATGTTTTAAAAACCTCGACGGGTAGTACCACTTGGCAAGAGAATTGTTAAGTTTGAGGCAATTGTATAATATATTTGCTTAAGAATAATTGAATTAGAAAATATTATGCATTAATCTTCATACATAATTACTTTATATATACAGTTTGAATAGTGTAATTATTTTTTTAATAACAATACAGACACAAAAACAACTGATGTGGTACCTCTATTTAAATAATAATTGTGGGCAAACTGCGTAAGCGGTGGGGAAATTTTGACAAGGTCAACAACGTCATCACGATGAAGTAGTAGTTTTATGACAGTTTGGGCGATAGTGATTACGATTACAAATTATATGAAACAGTATCAACTTTATATTGATTATCATTTTAGTTTACTAGATCTAAATCTATATTAAATTTAAATAAGGCTATACTTTGTATTTTAAAAAAAACAACAACTCAACTTAAACTAACACTAATCGCACAGTTAATTATCCGCTCAGCTGTTGTGTTTTTTTAATTTGTTTCGAATAGTTAGTAATAATCAAAAGGTAATCGCACCATTTAAATTATTTGGTGTATCATATTAAATATATTGCGACTAAGACAACAGTTGCGCATAGAATTCGTTATTAATGGAAAGAAAACCAGTAAAGTATAAATATTCAGGGTGGGAGTGGAAAAAACTGAAAGAAATTTCAGATCGCCAACAAACATCATTTCAATGTGTCAAAATAGATACATAGCTTTCAAGCTGCACGCCTTTATATTCGACAACAATACAACCAGTGGTTGATGTGTCTCGAGATACCCAAGTACAAAATATCAAGCAACCACGTCATCTCATATGCAGAATCAAGTAGAAACTCAAGACGTTGTCTATAGACATTTTAGAAGACACCAATTTAGAAGACGATATTGACAGAAAAGTGCCAGTCAAACGTATTGATATAATTGATACAAGTCTGGAATATCCTACAGATCCTTTTGCTTTGTGAAACACCCGTAGCACTGGATCTAGTAAGAGCATTGCTTAAGTTTGGTCCTTGTCAACCAGGCCTAAAAAATACTTATAAAGATTTGGTACAAGAAAAAAAAACCGTACGAAATGTGGTCGGGAAATAATACGACACTAGCTAGTATATTCGCCCAAGGCAAATAATATGATTTCTTTTGTTTGTTGGCTTTTTAAACGCAATTCACACACTTGGGGTAATCCATAATTGGGTTTTACTTTGCAAAAGGTCTTGACAAAAATGACAAACATGAAAACTCTGAAAGTCACAATATTGCCGAGAGAACTTTTTAATTACGAAATTCCGACTTTTTTAGACAACATTAATATGGGATGTTTTAACATCAGAAATAAAGGAAATAGAAAATAAGAGATATACTAGAAAATATTAAATATGAAGTTCTCTATTTGGGAAAACATGGAATGGCGTTTAGAGGCAATCGTGAATAACGAAGGTTTAGGGTAAGCTACATTAAATGAAGGCAACTTTTTGGAACTTATTAAGCTCAGATCTAAGAAAGATAATTTGCTAAAATATTTAATTTTAGGTGACAGAATTGCAACATACTTAAGTCTGGGTATGCAAAATGACTTAATTATGTTTATATCAGGCTGAATTTGAAACAAGATAGTAGGTAAAATTAAGATAGCTAGTTATTTCGCTGTAATTCTAGATTCAACTATCGACATTAGTAGAATGCATCCATTTTCTTTGTGTGGTTGAGGCAGTGGCGTAGCGAGGTCGGGTGTCACCCGGTGCGGCACTTAATGGTGTCACCCCCCCCCCCCCCAGAGGCATAGAGACCCTTCCCAGGGACAAACTTTCAAATTTTCGATTTGCACCCCCCCTCAAACTTTCGATTTGCACCCCCCCCCCCCTCGAGTTTTTCTCTATATATTTTGCTATTTTTTGCCTTGGTGTCACCCCTCTAAATGGTGTCACCCGGTGCGGTCTGCACCCCCCGCCCCCCCCCCCCTCGCTACGCCCCTGGGTTGAGGTTAGGGTAAATTTGAAAAGAAACTTATTTCCTAAACATGGGCTATGCCAGGAATATGCTGATTAAAAAACGCACTATTCATGGTCCTTTACCAAGAGGTTTTTTTTTTTTTTTTACAGAGATCCGTGCCGGGCCTTGCCTTGGCGGCTAATATATATATATATATATATATATATATATATATATATATATATATATATATATATATATATATATATATATATATATATATATATATATATATATATATAGATATAGATATAGATATAGATATAGATATAGATATAGATATAGATATAGATATAGATATAGATATAGATATAGATATAGATATAGATATAGATATAGATATAGATATAGATATAGATATAGATATAGATATAGATATAGATATAGATATAGATATAGATATAGATATAGATATAGATATAGATATAGATATAGATATAGATATAGATATAGATATAGATATAGATATAGATATAGATATAGATATAGATATAGATATAGATATAGATATAGATATAGATATAGATATAGATATAGATATAGATATAGATATAGATATAGATATAGATATTGATATAGATATAGATATAGATATAGATATAGATATAGATATAGATATAGATATAGATATAGATATAGATATAGATATAGATATTTTTTTTTTCCTTGAGGTGGGCTGAAACCATAAGGTGCCGCACAGGTGACACCCGACATTACAACACCACCGCTCTAATAAAACACAATAATACGAATGACAAGTTCTATTAGAAAATGCAAAAAGAAATAGCATGCATTAACCGTAGCCACCCATGGTAGAATCAGTATAGGTTTTCTAGAACATTTAGATTAACTGAGTAAATATTTTAAAGTGGAAAATATATATCTCAAAATAATTTTTGCCCTACCTTGGCAACTTTCATCAGTGGTAGAATTCTCATATCCAATATTACACCTACATTCTGCAGATCCATTTAAGTAAAAGCAGCTAGCATGGATGTCAGAACAAAAGTCAGTCTTTTTACACTCATCAATATCAGTTTCACAGTTGATGCCTTTCCACCCAAAGAGACAATAGCATTCTCCTGTATTGTCCAGGCAATCTACTGTATTCTCCATAACACATGAGCAGAGATTTGAGCACTCATACCCAAAGAATGTGTTATTACAAGCTGTAAGAAAATGGGAATACAGTAGTAATATATTTTAAAATTAAAGATCTTTATAACTTACATTTTGACATATTTTCTATCCTGCAAACATCTAAAATAAATGATTTGTATCAAATATTTCAGCATTTCTTTAGAAAAATTATATGCCAAAGTTATTTTTAACAAAAATGGTTAGCATTAAACAAATTATTTTGTTTTTTAAAACGATCAAAATCCCTGAAATCACATTCACACTTCAGGTAAATAAAAAAAATAAACTAAAAATTTTTTAAATTTGTTCAAAACAATTGTTAAATTATTAAAGTACACATTCAAAAATTAGCATATTAATACGAAATATTTTAATATAGAATAAAACATCTTCTGCCATACCTTGGCACTGCAGGTCAATAAGTGATCTTTGAAAACCAATCTCACACCTGCATTCTGCTGACCCCACCAAATTAAAGCAAACTTCCATGTAACCATGACAGTAGCTAGCATCAAGGCACTCATTGACATCTTCATCACAAGTGGTGCCATTCCAACCAGCTGCACACAAACATTCTCCTGTGGTGTCATTGCAATCAACTGTGTTGTTTAGGTTACAGCTGCATGTGTTGGCACAGTTCAGACCATAGTGAGTAGCATTACAGGCTGGAACAAAACATATGTAACAAGCATGATTGATTGCAGTAAAGAAGAAAAAAACATTCAATTTCTAAACACATTTATATGTGAAAAACTATTTGTCTTCAAGAATGAAAGGACACAATTGTACGCACATGAATCATACAAGAAATGTTTTTTTCCCAAAAATGATTATTAATAAAGAATGGAATTTTGGAAAGTTAATTACCTTGGCAGCTTTCATCAGTGGTAGAATTCTCATATCCAATATCACACCTACATTCTGCAGATCCATTTAAGTAAAAGCAGCTAGCATGGATGTCAGAACAAAAGTCAGTCTTTTTACACTCATCAATATCAGTTTCACAGTTAATGCCTTTCCACCCAAAGAGACATGAGCATTCTCCTGTATTGTCCAGGCAATCCACTGTATTCTCCATAACACATGAGCAAGAATTTGAGCATTCATACCCAAAGAATGTGTTATTACAAGCTGTAAGAAAATAGGCATAGTGTAAAATCATAATCTTAAATAAATAGAGTTTTGCCATTAACAATCTAAAGTATTTTATTTCTAAAATAATTTGTAAAATATCTAAAATAAACGATTGACATAAAATGATTTGGCATTTATTAAACATCTTATTACATGACACAACTGTTATTTTAAAAATTGAGGGTTAAATTAAAACGCTTTACTGCGTTGAACAAAAATGACAATAATTGTTTGTATCCAATTCATAATGAATTGATTAAAATATTAAATTTGATATTTAAGAAATAGATTAAACATAGTTTAAAGAAATGTTTTATGACAGAGAATTGAGAAATTTCTGCCATACCTTGGCAGTGCAGGTCAATAAGTGATCTTTGAAAACCAATCTCACACCTGCATTCTGCAGACCCCACCAAATTAAAGCAAACTTCCATGTAATCAGGACAGTAGCTGTCATTAAGGCACTCATTGACATCTTCATCACAAGTAGTGCCATTCCAACCAGCTGCACACAAACATTCTCCTGTGGTGTCATTGCAATCAACTGTGTTGTTTAGGTTACAGCTGCATGTGTTGGCACAGAACAGACCATAGTGCGTAGCATTACAGGCTGTGATAAATTGAGCTTTTCGTTTCATTTAGTCTTTCATGTAAATTGATATTTATGAGTATAAACAAAAATAATCTAGCAATTTACAGACAAAATCTTGACAATATATGTTGGCATGAAATATTAAATGTATAATCAATACAAATCATGGAAAGTTGTTATGTTAGTGTTGGAGCTTTATAAACTAAGTTGAAATTTTACTAATGCAAATGTGTGTATGCTACTAATGTTATATATGTACACACATTAAATTTGATTTCTGACATTTGTGATATTTTTTACTTTCGGAAAAGTCCGCATAATTAAAAAAATGTTAAAAATACTAAATCGTCAAAAATATCATACGTATTTTGTAGTGAATTTATTTTTTCTTATTTTTTTTAAAATTCTGAGATCATTTGTCCGTGATAGCAGTAATCCTAACACATTTAGATTGATATAAAGGTACAGGTATATTTTATTGTTTTTTTTTTTAAATTGTATAACCTGAAGAAGTTGTTTGCAAACACGCAAATAAAAAGCTGTTTCTAATTAGAAATTTGACTCTTATTATATTTGTACAACTTACCGTCTTATTAAGGAATGTAAGGTGATATGTAAGTAATTTTTTTTTTGTAATGACGTAAAAGATAAAACCTTTCCTAGTCAACCATTTTAGTTATTTACCTATAAAAATAATTGGTATCAATCAAAATTGTTAGTAATGTTCAATATCGATAAGTCAATGAGCATCTGTCGTACAGATGTCAATTTTTAGCGTTTTCGTTTACTCACCTTCACACTGATTGGGATCAATAGTACTTATTTTGTATCCACGTTCGCAAGAACACACGAAGCTTCCATTTAAGTTGATACTTATCTGCTCACATTGGTTTGTATTTACTTGAATGACCTCATCCATTTCTTAAAAAAAGTTGATTTAAAAAAAAAAAAATATAAAACGTATTATGTGATTCTCTATTAAGGCCATATACGCAGTGCCGGCGCAAGGTTATTTAACGCAAATTTTATTAAAATCCTCCCGCATCGCAAATTTTTTTGAGTCCCCATATTATATATATATATATATAAATATAAATAAATAAATATATGTATATATATATATATATATATATATATATATATATATATATATATATATATATATATATATATATATATATATATATATATATATATATGATATATTGGGCCTATATCTATATGTATCTATATATATATATAATTCTCTTCATGGAGACCATAGAAAACACAACGCAGTTTAGCCACCACCCTCATCCCCACCTTTCAGGTGAGCTGTTGTTCGGGTGTAGGGCAAAAGGCCGACATCCAAAAGCCCTAAAGGACAAAAGGCCGACACGGACAAAAGGCCGACATGGACAAAAAAAGACTGCCAAAAGGCCGACAGGACATAAGGCCGTAAGGACATAATGCCGACAGCGATAAGGCAGACAGACAAAAAGCCGACTGCACATAAGGCCGACAAGCACACAAAAATACTAATATCGCAAAATATATGTTACTGCATAGCTGCTATCTTGACTACTATCGAAATTGAAGAGGGGGAGAAATGGGGGGGGGGGTATTTTTAAATATTCATTAAAAATTAAACATGTCTGTAATTGATATTTGTTGTTTTATAAAATTTGTCGGCCTTTTGTCTTGTTGGCCTTTTGGATGTCGGCCTTTTGGCTGTCGGCCTTTTGTCTTGTCGGTCTTTTGGATGTCGGGCTTTTGAATGTCGGCCTTTTATCCATGTAGGCTTTTTGTCCGGATCCCCTGTTGTTCACCCGGTGGCGTAGCGAGGGGGGGGGGACGGCGGGGGGGGGGGACACATGTCCCCGGGCGCCGACCTTAGGGGTCGCCAAATTGAAAGTTTTAGGGGGGGTGCAAATGAAAAGTTCGAGGGGCGGTCGCAAATCGAAAGTCTGAGGGGGGGGGGTGCAAATGAAAAGTTCGAGGGGGAGGTGCAAATGGAAAATTTGCTCTCGAGTCTTGGGGGAGCTACCATCTCCTACCGAGCGCGTCCCCAGGTGGCGGATAGGGGAGAGGCCCTTAGATATGAGGGTTAGCTGTGAATACCAAATAAACAGCCGTGGACCAACTGGTTTGTGGTCATGGAGGATGAGGTGGGATATCCATTGGTTAGGATATCTAATAAAAAACATCTCATAAATCCAAGGAAATGACTTCAACGGCGAGCATGGGGCGCTGTAACTCCAAACCCGGGCAGATGGGGCTCGTTAGCTGGGGACAGCAACCCATCTAGGAGAGACAACTCCAAAATCAAACAGCTACTGCCTTGTAGTTTGTTCTTGGGTGATTAAAGGCTATGGAAGCAAATCCAGAAAGAAAAGCAGGCTGAAGTCGGAGTCAACGGGCCATCTAGTATGGCGCATAACATGCTGTCACGCACTGCTTAATTTTATGATGGAGGAAAGAAATAGGACTAACGGAAGTGGCGTCCTGCCTGTGGAATCCCGCCGCGCAGGTAGGGGGCCGGGCTCTCCGCCTCGAAGGAGCCCACAAAAGCGAGCTGGTGGTTCCTCTATTCTTGCCTGGCCAGCCAGGGGCAAGGATCAGAAGGTAAATTCTACTGGCCAAAATAGTGAGGAAAACAACAAATTACTTGTTATCCTGCAGTGGAATGCAGAGAGAGTTCATAAAAAAAGGAAGCCTTAAAAATATTCCTACATGAAAATAAAGTAGACTTTGCTTGTATTCAAGAAACTCACCTCAACAACAATCTTCGCTTCTCTATTAGAGGATACACCTGCATAAGGCAGGACAGGGAAAACAGACCTAAAGGAGGTATCCTCATTCTCATAAAAAATGACATTCCAACAACAGATATCGTTATACCAAACTCAACAGCATCTGAGATAATGGGCACCAAACTCATACTTGCAGAAGGTAACCTAAATATCTTCAATTGCTACTGTCCTCCTGATAAGGACCTGGAACTGGACCGCATCTCCCTGCCAAACAGCGAAGATAGCCTGGTTGTGGGAGACATGAACAGCCACTCCCAGAGCTGGGGTTACCCTGACCTCAATGCTAAAGGAGAGGAAATTGAAGAATGGCAAGCAGCAAATAGGCTCATCCTTCTAAATAAACCTGATGACAAACCAACTTTTTACTCAAGGTCTTGGTTAACCACGTCTACCCCCGACCTAGCTTTTGCTACTAATGGCATATCCAAAAAATGCAAAAGAGAAGTTGCAGATCAACTAGCCACTAGCGACCACCGACCAATCCTGATCCAGATAGAAACATCAAACAGGCCAATTGAAGCCTACCCCCGCCCTAGATGGAACTACAAAAAAGCTAACTGGGAGCTCTTCTCTTCCCTCACAGACTCCTACACAAGACCAATCAACTGTAAAACCAAACAGGTGAACAAGTCATACACAGCCTTCTCAAAAGCAGTTCTGTTAGCAGCCAAAAAATCTATTCCAAGGGGAGCAAGGAAAAATTATTTCCCAAACTGGACTCCAGACCTCCAGATACTCCATGACGAGACAATTGATGCTAGAAACATTGTTGAAGAAAATCCCACTGTAGAAAATAACATAAAATTAAAATCAGCAAACGCAGTTTTTAGAAAAAAAGTATCTAACTGCATTGAGGAAAAGCTGGCAAGAAAAAACAGAACACCTCAATGTAGATAGAGATGGTCATAAACTATGGAGTATTGCAAAAAGGCTAAACCAAGAAGAAAACAGAGCTACTCCCATAGTCATCGACATTGAAAACACGATCAAAACAGAAAAGGATGCAGCAAAAGAATTTATAACCCACTTCAGCAAAGTGGGACAAATAAATATCAGCCACCAAAGAGTAGAAGAGGTTAAAAATCAAACTGAAGTTAAAGAAAAACTACAGAAAGTCTCTCCCCCCTCCTCCACTGGAATGGTAGCTCGAATTAGCAAGAAGGAGCTCGGAGAAGCAATGAAGCTCCTCAAACTTAAGCAAGCTCCAGGCCCTGACAAAATCTCAAATGATATGCTCATGCACCTGGGCCCCAATGCTAAGAAAAAACTGCTCCAAATATTTAATGCAAGCTGGAAATATGGGAAAATCCCAAATATTTGGATAAAAGCAATCATGATACCTGTTCTAAAAATAGGAAAACCCAGGAACAAAGTCGATAGCTATCGCCCAATAAGTTTAACAAGCTACGTTTGTAAACTGATGGAAAGAGTAGTAAACAACAGACTGACCTGGTTTCTAGAATCGAACAATCTACTAGCAGACGAACAGGCAGGCTTCAGGAAGTGCAGATCTACTGAAGACCAAATCACCTTCATTTCTCAGGAAATAGAAGATGGCTTTCAAGAAAAAAAACCAACCTCAATAGTGTGGGTCAACTTTGAAAAAGCCTTTGACAAGGTTTGGGAGCAAGGCTTAATTCTAAAGCTAATAAACCATCAAGTATCTCATAACATGCTAAACCGGATAAAAGGTTACCTAAGCAACCGAAAAGCATCAGTCTCCATGCAAGGAAAAAGAAGTCACACAGTAACTATAAAAAATGGAGTCCCTCAAGGAGGAGTCTTGTCTCCTACTCTCTTCCTCATTTATATAAATGACTTAAATGAAAACATCCCAAGGAGACTAAAAAGAAGCATGTTTGCAGACGACCTTTCACTAATCAGCACAGAGGAATATATTGGTACCTCAAAATTTCGTCTTCAAGAAACACTTGACAAGCTCGGCAAATGGACCAAAAACTGGGGCTTATCCATCAATACCAAGAAAACAACTTATTCAATCTTCACCTTATCAACTAAACATCAAAAAATGAAACTTACCCTAGAAAACCAAGAGCTAGAAAAAAATGACCACCCCAAATACCTAGGAGTCACTTTTGACACTCGACTTACCTGGAGAAAACAAATAGAAAACACACAAAGTAATGGGATCAAAAGACTTAATCTAATGAGGAAACTGGCAGGAACAGACTGGGGAGCAAATCACCACATCCTGAAAAAAACCTACACCAGCTATGTGAGACCTACGTTAGAA